TATCATTCTGCTCCACCTTTATTAAATGATCTCAGGCAAGCTGTCAATATATGTGAGGTCTAGAAACATTTTGCCTAAGACAGGATTCAATCATTTCAGTAAAGGGACAGTAAATAGCATATAAAAGAATATGAATTCAAATATCCATGTTACATAGCTCCTTCTTAACAGCTATTATTTGTGCAATACTTAACACTGTTGGCAGCTCTGTACCTATCATGGGCTTAAAATTCCTGATGAGTGGGCAAAACCAGCCCTGCTTTCTAAGTAAAGAGTCTGTTGCAGTCAGCCTTGTAAAAGAAACCTTTTAGTGTCAGTGATAATGAAAATACCTGGTACATATGACAGCGTTAAAATGGTGTCATGACCCAGCAATTTCTATTCAGTGCTGTCACATCCATGCACTGCACTGATCGGGATTGTCATCATGTAAATGTAATAGGATTCTTTATCCTGCATTGTTGCTCAGCTGGCAAGAGTAATTCTGAGTTTCCTGTAAGTTCTGAATAGCAGCAGGGGGCCATGAATAGCTTGGAAACCTATATTTTTTTCCATTTATTTTTTTTAAAATGCAAATTACACTAGTAAGTCAAAAAAATCACTTTTGTTAAAAATACATTCAGAATTAACAAATGCCAAAAAGAAAAGAAAAAAAAAAAAGGACACATTTGGATTGTATCTCTTGCTTTTTAGTTTATAACAAAAGCCCAGCCTAGAAAAATAACATTCTTTACTGGATTTTGAGGAGGATACAGCTGTACAAATCAAAAATGCCATCCAGATATTCTCACATTACTGTGCTCTAAACTGCTTCCAAAAGAGATCTGTCCACTAATCATTTAGTTGAGTAGTCAACAGTCCTAATTTTTTTAATGGTGGTGTTCTAACTGCAACTTAAGCAGGGTTATGAAGACCAACTTCATACAGGTATGTATGTGTGTGTGTATATATATATATATATGTATATATATATATACATATACCGTGTGTATGTGAGTGTGTGTATCTACTCTATATGTAATATATGAATACACATTTATATTGCAATCCATAGTAGTTAGATGTGCTTCCTATTTCCTAAGCATTTTACAAACATTAACAATTCAGACCTCACAAAAAGCCTGTGAGGCACGTATTATTCCCGTATTATAGATGGGAAGACTAAGACACAGAGAAATTAAGGCCAAAATTTTCTAAATTAAAATCAGGCCTATAAGCTACGTATAGACACTTCATTAAATTGTCTGACTTCTAAAACTGCTAACTACCAGTAGCTGCTGTTCCATGGGAAATCACTGAAAGGTATGAAAAATTATCTCCTGAAAATTGGATTGCTGCTTAGGTGCCTAAACTGGTTTCCTCTCATGTTAAAAAATGATTTTTATAGAAATATCATTTTGATTAACTCGTATACAGGGAAAGATAAAATAACTTGTTATGACATTTTCATCCCATTTAAACCTCTTCATTGTGTTTAATACTATATATCTGCTATATTTAATACTATGTAGAAGTAGAAACTTTTTAAATTTTTCAAGTTATGGGAAATTTCAGTCTGTCACTTGGAAGTTGCATGGCATTTCCAGGGGGTGAAAAGCAGCTTTATCCAGCAGGAACTCAGATTTTCAGGTACCCAAGTATGAAAATTTAAATTTGAGATCCAAATCAGCAATGAATGCTTTACAGGATCAGGCCCTAGGGGACGTTCATGTTTCATACATTAAATTCCCAGCAGTATCTGAGACAGGAACCCTTGGTCCACTGCATCAGAATCTTCCTGGGTGATGCAGCCCCCAAAAATAGTTAGTCCTGTGTATTTTATATACATAGACATACACACACATTCACACACTTACATATATATATATATCTATCTATATCTATATAAATCTCACTGAATCAATGTAGGTATAGTTCCTGAACATGTCCTGTATCTTGTTTTCACTGGTGAATGCCTGTTCCTCTGTCATTGTCCAGAGTTGCTGCTTGTGACACTGTACATCCATGCAGACACAGCAAAGGGCACTGGCTTGTACAGGGATGGGTGAGTGGTGTGAGCACACAGGCCTTTGGAGCAAGGGTTTGGCCAGCATGGAACAGGGACTTGCTCAGGGGTGCCTTGAGCATTTCCAAGTGCTGACCTTCCCTCTCACCCTCAAAAGCTATGTGGTCACCTCAGGTGTGGCAGGTGCGTGCGTTTGTCTATGCAAGGTCTGAGCAAATAAACAATGACAATCCAAGTTTCTGAAAAACCTGAGCAAAATATTGGGTTTTCCTAGTGAAAGCCATCTACGTTCTTGAAAGTACAGATCAGATGTAGAATAAAACATATGTTCCTAGGAGTTCAGAGTATTTCATATACACATTGACCTACTAGCAAAATTCCCAAAGGCATCTTGTTGCCAACTACGTAACAGCACAGAGTTATTTTTTTCAGCCACAATAATACAGGAAGATAAAATACACGTTCTAACACACAACAGATCCCCCAAATATACCACAGAAAGGTCTTCAGTATTTCTTCAACTCAACTAGTCCCTCCCTGCCCTCCAACCAAAATCAAAAAATTAAATATGTGAATCCCTTATGGCGCAATTAGAAAAAAAAGCTCACTTACAGAGAATTTTTAGTTGAAATAAGTAAGATATAAAAGAGTAAACGTAGCTAGTACATATTCAGTTGGCCTTTGTTCATAGAAATCTGCAGATGTCTCTGTAGTTAGTAAAAGATGTTTAGAGATAGCTATAAAAGCACCTACAGTGCGATAAATAAAACCAGCGGGATTAAGAAGCACTGTTTCTGCTGCTTATTTCCAGTAGGTTCAATTATTAGTTTCTGCTACCCCTTTCCCCACCCTGACCCCCAAAAGGTCTCATTTATTCCTTTATTCATTTTTCTTTTTAAGTGTTATAAACTGTTTCTTGACCACTGTGGAGCCCCAAAAGTAAAGCACTTATCAGACAGCTGGCAGTTTTCTACTTGGTTGCTCTGGAGCCATGGAGCAACAGAGCCTTATTCCCTGACATGAAAACAAAGCAAAACCAAACAGAAGAAAACCACTGACTTAGAAATCGTTCAGAATTAACAGCAGCATGTTAACTTCAGAAAGCTTGCACGTAGTTTCTCTAATGTGCAACGCAGTTGGGTTAAGGCAAGTATGAACTGTACAGCCTTCAGGGCAAACAATGCGCTGTCTATTGACTTCTGCTGCAAGGTCATCCTGGTATTTCAGTGTTGTGAAGACTGAGGAGACTCAACTCGGCCCAGAGTGTGGAGGAGGCTCCCACAGCACTGAGTGGGCTGGGTCCATGTCTTAGTCCAGATGGGCTGTCCTGGCCGTGGCGGGGGAAAGAAAGGGACAAAGGGTGGCACCAATGCCTCTGCTGTGTCCCTCTGGTGCTGGGAGGAGGCAGGAGATCCAAGGAGGGGGTCTGGGGCATCTCCTTTAGTACCTGTTAGAAAGAGAGGCTGAAGGTCTCTGTCGTCTTCTGTCTCACTGTTCAATCAGCTTTTATACATTATTTTTAGCACAAAAATTGGATTTCTTTTCTCTTTGAAGAACCAGGAGGCCATCCTGAAAGAGATTTTTTGACAGGTCCTCCAGCCCACCTTGAGTAGTCCCCATGTTTACTTTGACCTAGAAGAAAGACAGAGAAAGAACAATACTTATAATCCACCATATACTTATCTGATCCCTGCCCTGCTGCTCTGGTGCCCTTTTGCAAGCAAATGCAATCCACAAACCAGTAACAGTTCAGATACACACTAATGAGGAAGAGGACAGAAAGACAAAGTGTTTACTCAAGTAACTGCTTGGGTCTCTCTGGAACATTGTCAGAGAAGTCAGCACAGGTTTTCTAAACAATCTTAGTCAGGAGCTATATTTAATTATATAATCTTAACTGTATGTCCATGGGTCAACTGGAATATGACCTGATTTATATAATCCATCAGATATGTAGCTGTCTTTGTAAAACCAAGTAGTGACATGGTGTGAGGACAGAAAGGCTGAATAGCAGGTACAGGGGAAAGCCGCCCACGGCTCACTCACAAAGCAGAGAGCAGAGAGTGATAGTGCCACAGCCTGGCCACCTTAACAGCATTGTCCCAAACCTCTGCTTTGTGACTAAAGCTTTCAGTCTAAAATGGACAAGACGTTGTTTGTTGATAGTGAAAGCTTAGGTGGTGGTTTGTTTATTTAAAGGTGTCTGAATCCCAAAACATGAGTAGGTAATTACACAGAAGATGTGTAGTGCACGACCTTGCTGAATGTCATGGTGGTTATACTCAAGGTGCTAGTTTTAGTGTCTTTTTTTGTGTTTCATTTATACTTTAAGTGAATGGTGAAGTAGGTAGCACCTTCAGTATGTGCAATTATCTAGACAAATACTGATATGTGTGTGTGTTTGCAATGGAGTACGGATACTGCAAATACTCTTAGGCTTCACAATAGGAGGAAAGCATGCTTCACTTCAGGGCTGCACTGCTTTTGAGCAATTTCTCCAGTGCATTAGGCATCAGCATCAGACATGCATGGGTTTTTTTTGCTTCACTTCTTCTTTTCTCGAACAAACAAGTTCAGTGTGAAGAACATAAAGAAAGATCTCTCTCCCCTCCCTCCTTCCTACTGTTTTTAGAACAGTGATCATGCAGTGCAGTCTTGTTCCACAACTACAACTGTGTTTTTTCATGTGCAGCAGAATCAGTGTCAGGGAGTGTTCAGTCACCTTCCTCGGTCACCTCCCAAGAGGAGAATTTTGTCTTGACAATTGATTTCCGCCATCTTATTGTGTCCTTCTCCCATGGTCTGGAAATGAGCACTGGCATCTCCGGCACAGAATGCCAGGAAGCTGCTTTTGAGTACATCAGCTGTGGCCACACTGCAAGGAGGTACATGAGCATCGGTTCTGTCCCGTTCTGTTCAAAAAGCGTATTCGTTTTGAAGGGACTGTCTAGGCTTCTTGGCTTGTACAGCATAGAGCACACTGTTGGCACTTAAATAATAAAAAAATCCCATTTATAACAGGTAGAGAAATATCACCATAAGAATTCTTCCCCAAAACACCAGTGTTTTATTTAAAACATAGTTTTAAATGGCATATATTTTTCACTTTAAAAAATAAACTGATTTAAATTAAATACGAAACTGGAAGAGGTGATAAAGAAAACTGTGATTGGAATTCAAAGCCTAAAACATAGAGAAAAAAACTTCTATGTGAGCCTGAATCTAATAATTCTAGACTATTAAAGGTAACAGTAGCCAGAGATAGTCACTTTAATTAACTACCTAAAGATAATATTTCTTTTTCAGAAACTAAGATTTTTCTTTTCCTTAGATATCTAGTTCATTTAGAGTAGTTTTGTATAACTGATGAAACACCACACAAAGCGACTATGTGTGTTTAAACTGAATTAGAATGTTCTTAAAAGTAGAGTTTGGCTGATGAAAATCACAAATAAAAAGTAATAAATCTTTAGATAAAATAGTCCTGACACAATAGAAATGTAAATATGAGAACAAATCAATATACTTTGCACATGTAAGTTGGTGTAGGCTCCATATAACCTTTACATTAACAAAATGAAGCCCTAACTTTAGTATAGAGGACGAAACTGGTTACGAAACAGTATGTCTTAACAGTTAGTAGTTACTAAACCCAGCATTCTTTCAGAATAATAGTTAAATAGTGCATGTATAAAGGAGTTAAAATTGATTTAAATCACATGGATGAAAAAGTGTTTGACTTCCAAAGAAATAAGTTTCTGTTGATGGACTTCTGTCATTGTAATCCACTAAATCAATTCACATCAGTAAGCAATATGTGGATAATGACTGAGACCTAACACAAAATTCTATATCTTTTAAAGATTTTTACTAGTTCTGTATATGAATCAATCTGGAAAATATATAGGGGCTTCTCTCTCCTTTATTATTGAACTACATGTTGAAATTTGTATTTTGAAAGAATCTGAACAACCATTAGAAAGAAGCTGATACTGTTTTGTTGAGCTCTTCAAAGAGGAGACCATATTCTCTCCTTCCACTTTGCAGCATGCCTAGCACACTACACAGAGCAGAGAATGAGCTGCTATTGTGCCTCTGCATATAGTTAGTAATCAAATGATTTGAAGACCCCTGTCTTCTCTTCAATTTCTGTTATAAATCTGGAGCTCCATATAAGATGTGCCCAGTGTGAGTCTGAATAGGAGAGGATGCAGTGGTGGCAAAAAGCGATCTCTGTATTTTCTTGATCTTTTCCAGTAATTTGATGGGATGATGCTTAATATATCTTCAGTTGCCTATAGATTCAAAGGCATTTTGTAGCAACTGATAAAGTTATGGAAATATATGCATACAGATACATGGAAATATATGGATATCTCCTCTCCTCTCCTCTCCTCTCCTCTCCTCTCCTCTCCTCTCCTCTTCTCTCCGAACCTCTCCGAACCTCTCCCTATATTAAACAATTCTTGCCTATTACACATACTCTACAGGTGTTGAGCATTGTAAGCTGGAGGTGATACTGGCCAGAGAATAGCATAAAGCCCTGTTCTTTTTTTTAATTTCTTTCCTTGAATACTATGAAGGCTTACATTGGTGATATTTGGTGAACAAGCTCTGTAGGGAACCAAACCTTTTCTCCCAACAAATAAAGATTTAAAATACCAAGTGTGGCCTGCTGTTATCATATCAGCATGTTTTGATTTCTAATACATAATATTGCTGTAAATAATGCTACAAGGAGATCAAACCTTGCCTTGATTAACTTGACATTCGAATTTGTCACTCCACTACCTAATGGACTGCCTACATTTACAGAGCAACTGCAAGGTGAATACATATGCATGTGTTCCTGGTGTGCCTCTGCTATAAATAAAGAAAGGTATTTCTAAATGCTGTAAAAGCCTCTTAAGGACAGATTGTAGCAATCTTAGAGAGCCCTGTCAAACACTGTACAGTCAGAGGGAAACACGGAGTGTCTTTGACTGCAGCTGGTGCATGGCAATACTTTTGTGGGTTGATTGGACAAAATGTTAACTCACATTCTGATTTCTGTCTCTCAGTTAAGACAGCTAAATCACCTATACTCCAGTGAGCATGCAGCTTTGAAATAAGAGAGAACAGAGTATACATGGATTAATTATCTATCTCTTCATCTTAGTACAAGCTTAAAAATATTGCCTTATTTTTTTTTTTTTTTCCACAGGTGTAGCTTTCTTTCCAGTCAGTGTGAAGATGCACAGTAAACGCAATCTGCTGTTCTGGAAGAAACACCGAGAACATAAAGAGAATGGGATAATAGCTACAGGGCTCCATATGTTGATGACAAGGTATGTATGGTGTACTGAGAAAGAGATAGGATTAGAATTGTTCTAAGTACCTATGTACCTCATATAATACTTGAAGGAAATAACATTTTCTAAATACGCAGCATTGTGCCAAAAGTGCAGGTGAAAAATATTTACTTGAGCACAGACAGATGGGAAGCTCAAGTTAAGACGACATTGGAGATATGCACTCTTGTAATTTGAGATTATTAAAAAGCTCCTAGCGAAGCTCCTGAAGGGCCCAGTTCCAAACACCACTACAGAACAGATTGTACCACTGATAAAGGAGCAAATGCAAGATTCCATACAAAAATACAGTAATCCATGAGAAGACTTGATTCCACTAATAAGAAGAAATGAAATTGCATTCAGAGGTGAATGGAATTGTGTGTTGGGATGGCTTTTGTTTGTTTGAACTTAGTTTCCTCAAAAGAAATGGTCAGAAGAGAAACAAAGGAAAAAATGTTGCCCCTTTATGAGCTGTTTGGTGCTGTGCTTTTAGTGTGTAGGGCACTGATGGCAAATAAAAAATATTTCAAAAGGTTGCAGCAGTGAGGTAAGATTTATCTGGGCAGTCAGGACTGTTCTGAATTTCAGCTGACATCAGTACAAGAAATATTTGGAGACAATTATTTCTGGGCTGGTCTACGGTTGTGTGTCATTTCTAGTGTGAATATACTCCAGTTGTGTATATGAGCTGAAATTTGATTATCCATTTAATTCCCAAATATATCAGACTGCACTCTTAAGATGGAGTTGTCACTCAATAGTTAGGTAAAATACCGCCTTTTATTCAAACTAATTTTAAAAGCCATATGTTGTTACATTTGTTTCAGCTTTTTTCAAACATGGAAACTGGAAAAGAGGTACAGAGGTGCCTTGGTGAACAGATGCTCTGGTAAGACAAATGATAAATGCATCCACTAAATTAGCAAGTTGCTGAACTTTTGATAAAAACTTAAAAAAAATCCACTTTTTTTCACAACCCAGGTTTGTCATATATTATTAGTGTTTTTCTACACCAAATTGTCACTGTGTTTGAGTGGAACCTGCTTGAATGAAAATAGGGAAAAATCAGGTGAGAGCTGGATGCTGTTTGAACAACTGTGACACGTGATATCCTGCCCTAAGAAATCATTATAATTCAACACAAGAGTAATGTTGGTGCTTAAGTGTAACTTGAATAAAAAAAGGCTCCTGCCTATTCTGAATTTTTAAGTCATGCCATCTTTCAGCTTAATGATCCTTTAATATCAGGCTGCCACTCTGCAGAATACCCTAGAAGTTAAGTACTTACATGTACATGGGCTGTAGCTGTAAATGAGATGTCTTCTGTGGACCTTGATAGCCGTAAGAGTCAAATCCACCTATGAAATCAACTGAAAGGGGAGAAATTGCTTCCATTAGCAACATCTTTTCAGAACTGATAGGCACTATCATTCAAGAACCACCCAGTGCATAGGTTACTTTTGACAGGTCATCTAATAATCTGTTAATATTAGATCAGCTAATTGGGAAGATACAGAAAAACAGTAAAAAAGTAAGGAAAAGCAAAGTTCCCCTTTTTTTCCTTTGCTTTTAAAATCAATTCAATTTTAAAACAACATTAAACAGTAATGGATTTATAACAGCCATCTTTCCACAAGAAATAAGCACACATCCCTTTTTTACAAGTAGACCACCTCACTAATACAAAACAACATGCCATTCAGACATTACAAATGCTGAAAACCATTTCTTTATTGGCATGAATGCATTGCTTCTGACTGCGATTACTGTGTCTGGCTTGCTGTCATACCATGTCTCAGTAGAGGATGTAGAAGAGGGAGTACATTGATCCAACTGTGTCTGAGAGACAGAAGTTGCTCTGATTCCCTGCTTTGACATTTGGGTTGAAATGCATGAACAGAGATTTGGAGCAATTTATCTGAGCTTCAGAGATGAGACTTCACGGATGTAAGGAAACCTGCATTTCTCTCAAGATACTAAAGGTCTGCAAGAAGGTTGTAGGGTGGGAGTTATTTATTAATTCACACAATCACCAGTTCCTGATGGCCTTCTTATGTTTGTTTTAAACAATTTCCAGGAAAATTCAATCTCATCTGAGCCCAAGACCCTTATTTCTCTGCCGGAACACTTTCTCTGCACAGGTAAAAGGGTGTCCTTTGCTTCCTTTGTCCCAGGAGACTCAACTATTGGCTTATAGGGGTTATTTGGGGGCAGTTCTTGTCCCTAAAATATTGTCTCTTACATCACAGAACTGAATTGGACTTTAATTTGATAGAAAAGGTCCAAAGTGCTAGGGTATGGAAGTGTATATCTCACGTCTGGTCACTGCTGCTGACAGATTGGCTCTGTGTACATTAAAAGCAAAACAAAAACAAAAACAAAAACAAAAAAACCTCAGCAACAACAACAAAAACAAACAAAACCAAAAGGAAAAAAGAAAAGGTTATTTGATAGACAACAAACTCTTGTGGATCTAAAATGCAGTTGCAGTCACAAAAAACAAAGGTAAATTTACATGGTTTTAGAACTTCCACGGTGGTTGGACTGCTTAAAGCATTTATAAAGTTGTTTTAGTACTAAGGTACCCCTCAATATGTGCCATGTTTAGTCACAATTATCAATACAGTTTCACCCATTCCAGACATTTTATCAAAAATCAAATTCTTGTAGCCTTCTATCCACCCTTCCATCGACTCTGCAAGAAAAAGCTACCAAAACACTGGACTGGTTGGGCACAGAATGTCTCTATTGCAACTGCACACATGCTGAATCTGTCATCAAGTCATTCTTTGTTGGCAAGAATGGCCCCTGCAGAAAAAATGTAGTCAACTCTGTGCTCTGTGGCAGCATTATATGTATTCCTATCCCAGAAAGATATGTTACTAAATTAATCCCTGACATCTCTAATGAATGAGGTTCTATAGCCTCTCTGTGTTGCTTTTCCCTGTGCCTAATTTCCTAATGTCTAATTTAAATGCAATTTCCTGTGATTTAACTACTTATCTACATTTTGGCCTTTTTTCCCTATGGATATGAAGAAAAATGAGCCATATTTATCTCTTATAAATACTTTTAAGCCTTTTTAAAAAGTATTCCATGCTATCCATTATTCTCAGGTTTTACTTAAACCTAGTTATTTAAAATTTTTCCCACTTCTCATGTTTTCCAAGCCTCTACATTTTGAACCCTGAGGATCCTTCCTCAGTTTACTTATAGTTTTCCTACAGTGGGATGCCCAAATCAGGACTAACCAGGATAATTGCTATACAGTCTTCTGTGAAATAATTTGGTAGGTTTTTGGGTTTTGTATATTTGGTTGGGTTTTTTTCTCTTGTTTTTGTTGTTCTTGTTTTGTGTCATTTGGGTTTGGTTTCCAATTTCTTTTTTTTCAACAGCATCAGACAAAACCTTTATAAACAGCTCTTTATTTTTTGTTTTGACATTAACTGTAGCCTAGCCAAGTAGTCCATATTTTATTTGAAGATGATTGATTCTTCCCCACAGGAGTACTTTTGCACTTGACTGTACTGAATTTCACCTTGATTTCAAGCCACTGCTCAAGATTATTTTGACTTCTAATCTGTCTTCACAAATGCTTGTACCCTTCCCTTTCTAGTTTAATCTTAAATCTTTACAAACGTCATTTCTTCTTTCCTCATTGTGTTAATAAAAATAATGAAGAGAATTATTTCCCTAGTTGAGGTCCCAGTGGGATCCCATCTGAAATGTCCCATCTGCTTAATAACCACATTTCAAATAGAGTTTGAAACAATTCTGCACTCAACCTATGCTGACTTTATCTGGACACTGCTTCCCTGAACTTCTTACAAACCTTTTATAGTGTCAAAATCCTGCTAAAATCAAGACAAATGCCATTTGTTGCTTTCTACTTAATCAATGTCTGTAACCATCAGAATACCTTTACCAAAATGTGATCATGTCTTTGGGAGCATACTAAGTTTACAAGTAGAAAATGAAGGATATTTTTTAGTGAAGTGCTAGGCTGGGAGGAAACCCGCCCCCGCCTCTGTTCAAATGCAAAGATTGCAGAAAAAAGAATGGACATATGTTTGCTGCAGGTATGGTTTGTTGTTTGCTTTCCCAATTTTCTTTTCTTTTTGTTATTCTTGATCCCTGACAACACAAGTCAAAAAATACCTGTGTTGGATCAAGTGCTTCACTGTTGTTGACCCATGCCACTTTAGGGATATTGCTTATACTCATTTGTCCAGATTTTCATTTCTTCTGTACTTTCCTAGAGCTTTTCTTTTTAAGCCACCTGTAAAACATTATTAGTAGGCTGCAGGCACAGACACTGCTTTGCAGATGTGGGGCAAAAGGCTGTCTTCAGGGTTATTTTCAGAAAGCTAAACCAATATGTTAAGAAAAAGATTTCTTTGAGCAAAATGATTTTTTGTGAGCATGAGGGAAAGATGCACGCTGAATATCATTTCATGCATTTTGGCTTTGCCCTGTTGTACAGAGCAAGCCCAGAGCGTTAATAAGCCAGATTGCCAAGTGACAAACAAAGCAAGGTCACAGAGACGTGTTCAGCTCACTATAGAAGCTCCCATGTGTGTAACCAAATGATGGCAGGGCAGAGAGTACTACCATGACCTCACTGGAGACATACAATGGCTTCTTACAGGCAACAACAAGCTTTGCAAGGTAGGTGAAGGGAGGTAATAGAAAGTGAACTCCAGTACAAAAGGGTTTCATCAATTTGTTTGTAGCAGGCTTTCTTCATGGCAGCTGCTTCTCAGCACTGCAAACCCTGTGGTGTCCAGACTGTGCTAAAAGCTCCCTGTGGACTCTGAGATAGCTTCTTAAAGCATGCAGCAGGCTGCCCTTTCTGCAGGCATTTTATCCTGGCTGTGCCTGAAAGGTCACTAAAGTGTCGTACAACTGATACATTCCTGGCAGCCATAACATCAGATGAATAAAACAAGGCTCATTAGCTGAATCAGTACAAAGGCTTCCATCCTTAGCCTCATACATCGAACACTTTTTTGCCTATTCTATCTTACATTCATCTTACATGTCACTGTTATCACAAGAAGGTCCTGTCATGTTTCACTTTAGCAAAAAGCACACATGAACATGAAAACATATTCACATTCCTTTTGTGGTGGGTTGACCCTGGATGAACATCAGTTGTCCACCAAAGCCATTCTGTTGCTCCCCTCCTCAGCTGAACAGGAGAGAGAAGACATAACAAAAGGTTCATGGGTCCAGATAGAGACAGGGAGAGATCACTCAGCAATTACCATCACAGGAAAAATAGCCTTGAGTTATTACGGAAGGAGAGTAGTATAATGAGAAATAGACCCAAATATTAAACCTTCTTCCCAGGCTTAACTCCTGATTCTCTGCCTTGTCCACCCCAGTGGCATAAGGGAATGAAGAATAGGGGTTGTGGTCTGTTCATCACATCTCTCTGTTTCTCCTTCCTCCTCAGGGGGAGGACTCCTTACATGCTTCCTCTGCTCCAGTGTCCTCCTATAGGAGGCAGTCCTCCACAAACTTTCTCCAATGTGAATTCTTTCCACAGGCTACAATTCTTCATGGACTGCTCCAGTGGGTCCCTTCCTTGGCGTGCAAGGAACCTGCTCCAGCAGGTGCCCCTCAGGGTCACAAGTCCTGCCAGCAAACCTGCTCTGCTGTGGGCTCCTCTCTCCATGGCCCCACAGACCCTGCCAGGAGCCTGTTCCAGCACAGGCTTCCCACGGGGTCACAGCCTCCTTTGGGCACCCACCTGCCCTGCCCTGGGGTCCCCCATGGGCTGTGTGTGGATCTCTGCTGCCCCATGGACCTCCCTGGGCTGCAGGGGCACAGCTGCCCCAGCAAGGGCTGCACCAGGGGCTGCAGGGGAATCTCTGCCCCGGTGCCTGGAGCGCCTCCTCTTCCTCCTTCTCTACTGGCCTTTGAGTCTGCAGGGTTGCTCTCACTCTCATTCCACTCTCCAGCTGAAGTTGTGCAGATTTTTTCCCTTCTTAAATCTGTTATCCCACAGGTGCTACCCCTGCCACTGACAATCCGAGCCTTGGCTAGCACTGAGTCCATCTTGGAGCTGTCTGGAATTGGCTCTGTCAGAAGCCACAGGAGAAGCTTCTAGTAGCTCTTCACAGAACATGTCCCTGTAGCCCCTTCAAAACCTGGCCATGCAAACCCACCTTTGAAATA